AAGCATGAAAAATAATTAATAGAAATAAGGTGAACAGCACTTAAAACAAGACAGGGTTGAGTGGGAAATCTTCCAGGGAAGATTGAAGGATAAGGTTTGATGAGACAAGTCTCGGTGTTTCGGTAATTATTTAGACTGCGTTGTCTACTTGAGAACGATATTTCGCTTGATTTCTTCAATTGGACGCTCTTCTTTTTTCAAAGACGATGAAGGACGAGGATCAATTGAAAAATACTAATGAGAAAAAATACTAATGAGACTGACGAACGATCGTCGCATCAAAATTTCTATCATAATTTTATCATGAGAAATGCAATCCAACGAATTTACGTCATTTTTCCAGTTTATTTTATTTTCTAATATTTACTTACGAAATAACATTTTTATTATTTTACAATTATATCGAGCAAGTTTTTATTATTACTTTTAATTATTTTATTTATCAGAAGATTCAACGCGACGTGCTTCTCTCTGTTTTCTCACGCAACAACTACGCGAACCCTTCGTCTCTGTCTCCTCGCCGTTCTTACAATCTCAAAAACCAATTTAACGACGCCACTCGGACCGCTCAATCAAAATCCAATTTTTTCCTCGCAAAAAGGTCGCTTCCAGCTGTTACCCGAAGCCTTTCTCCTCGGATACAACCTGGAACACGCCTCGTCAGGACGCTACAAAGCGGAAGAAGGGATACCGCCGAAGAAGAGGCGGGCCAGGACAAAGCTTGTACACGCAGACGACAGCCACGAAGACGAAAAAGAAAGGACGAAGAGGACGGAGAGCGGCGACGAGGGAGGGGCGCGTCGTTCTGACGGACTTAGGTCGATGCAATTTTCGCGAGGATCCATTAAGGCGCTGGGCGCAATTAGTGGGTGCCTTAACAAGGCCATTGTCGCGCCCGGCGCGCTTTACCCCCTGCCATCCTATCTCTGCCCATCTTTCCCGTCGGCTGCCATCCTTCCCCGCCTCCCGCGATTTTACTTGCGAATTTAATTGCCCTTTTCCTACCCGCCCCGAATGCCCGTCAAGGGTGGCTGCTCCCAG